ATTATTATAAATATGTGCATCACCAAGAGTTAAGATAAGTTCTTCAGTTTCAAGACCAGTAATGTTAGCAATCATATGAGTTAATAATGCATAACTCACAATATTGAATGGTATACCTAATCCCATATCTCCAGATCTTTGAAATACGTGACATGATAAACTTTTCTTTTTTGTATCATCATTTAAATTATTTACATAAAATTGAACAGTAACATGACAAGGTGGAAGTGCCATTTTATCTAAGTCTTTAGGGTTCCAATAATCAATTAAAATTCTTCTACTAGAAGGATCTTTCTTGATTAAATTAATTACATATTCTAATTGATCTATACCCTGACCAGTATAATTAGTTTCACAACTGATATATTTTGCACCAAAATGCCTCAATTGAAACCCATAAATTGGTCCCAGATCATTGCTATTATCTGCATTTTTATCCCAAATATAAATTCCTTTTTTTCATAATATTCTAACATCTGTACTACCACTAATGAACCAAAAAAGTTCTACAACTCCTCTAAGGAACATCTTTTTAGTTGTTAAAAGTGGAAATTTCTTATTTCTCAAATCAAATCTTAATTGAGATGGGGGAAAAATTAATAAAGTCTCAGTGCCAGTTCTATCTTTTCTATATTCACCATTCTTTAAAATATTTTTAATGAGATTTAGATATTGATATTCTTCATGAATTATATTAAAATTTATTTCTTTTATATTAAAATCAAATTGATCAGATACAATAACATATTCATTATCGGATTCATGATCATTTATTAATTCTAAATTAAAATTTTTTGATTCATTTAATTTTTTATTAGATATAAAAATATTTTTATAAATTTGTATAAATTCATTTATAATATCTTTATCTTTTAATATGTCTTGATTATTATTTATATATTCAAGAACTGTAGTGATAATTGTTTTATTATTATCAATACCATAATAAAAAAAATCATATTGAAGTTTATCAATTAATTTTTCTTCTTTAGACATTTTTTTTAATAAGATAAAATATTAAAACAATTTACTAATATTTATAACTTTAATTAATTAATAATTTATTAATAAAATTTAATATTGATAGTAATTTTAATATAATAAAAAAAAATAAATAAATAAATTAAGTTATATTTTAAAAATTATATTATAAATTTTATCCAATTTATGATTTATCCATTAAATTCTTTATATGCTCCATTTTTAACTAAATAATCAGCTTGTATATTTTCATAAACACTATGACTCTTAATTTCTATAAATTTCACAAATCCTTCATGGTTAATAATCAAAGATTTTAACCTTCTTTTTAATTCAATATGATTTTTACATTTCTTTTGCATTCTGTTACAATACCTATAACACATTTACTATCAATAATAATTTCTAGATTTTCAATATTTTTACATATTTCAAGAACTCAGATAACAATACATATTTCAGCTCGATGATCTGAATGTAATTGTTCTGATAAATTACGAGGATTATTATTACCAAAAAAATACATCAATACCAGATCTTTTTGTTTCTTTATAGAAAAAACTCCCATCAGTAAAAACTCTTGTGACTTTATTTATTATTAAATTAATTGTTATTTTATTAAATGTATTCTTATATAATATATAATAATAATAATAAAATAAATATGGATAAAATAACAATTAATTTAATAATAAATAAATTTAATTAAAAACAATTATTAATCCTATTTATCAATTTGTTAGCTTTGTTATTTAATTTTTTTTCCTCAGGTGATTTGTCTTGATTTAAATTTATTTTCTCTTTTATCAATCTAATATCATCTAAAAAACTTAATAATTTTGTATCATTATATTTTTCAAGTAATAATTTGAACTCATCATCTTTTTCAATAATATTCAATAAATTTTCAAATAATAAAATATCTTGTTCATTCTATTGGTTGGTTGATAAAATATCTTTCTCTTTTCATTCATTAATAATGTTATCAAATTTTTCTTTCTTAGTAGCTTTACTAGAAAAAAAATTATCTTGTAACCATTCTCTATATCTCATAATTTTTTTGCTATTATTTTCATCTTCTAATTTAATATTTTTTCCAAAATAATCAGTAATATTTATTAAACAATAAGAATATTTTTCATCAACTATAATATTATTAATAATTTTAATATTTGAATCACAAAACAATATTAATTCTTCAAATTTTAAAAATTTTGAATTTATATTTATATTCTTATCTTCAAGAATGGATAAAGTTTTTTCTAAATATTCAACTTCCATTTTTTTCAATTTAATTTAATTTTTAATATAAAAAAAGATAAAATTTTAATATTTAGTTATACATCAAATAAATGAAATATTGATAACTTAAATATAAATTTTAAATTAATAATTAATTATAAATAGTTTTAATATTAATTAAATTTTTAACTTAAAAAAAAATAAAATACTAATTAAATTATTAAATATATTAAAATAATAATTAAATAACTAAGAAACATTAAGTTTATTTTTTTGAAAATTATAATTTTTTAAAATAATATCATCATATTTAAATTGTTCTAATTTATCATATTTATGTTCAAATAAAATTGTTGGGAAATTGTATGATTTTCTTTTTATTTGTTAAATTCTTTATATGCTTCATTTCTAGCTAAACAATTTATTACTAATATATTTCTTTTTATTATTGTTTTTTATTACAATTATTGTAAATATTTAATAAATAAATTTATTTTTAATAATATTAATTATTAAAAATAAAAAATATATAAATTCAATTTTAAACTAAATAAAATTTTATTTATATAATTTTTTAATTATGAATAAAACTAAAATATTTAGTGATGAAGTAGTAAATGATTATTTGAATTTATATGAATCTAATGATGAAAGTAGTGATACAATCATCAATGTAGATAAAGAACCAAACATAGAAAAGTTATATGCTCATTCAGTGATTTTACGTACAAGATCAGTATATTTTTCAAAAGCTTTATCTAAAGAATGGGTTAAAAAACAAGATGGTTACTTTATTTTATCACAACCTAACATAAATGTTTTAATATTTAAAATTATTCTTAAATATCTATATTGTGGAATATTAGATTTTGAAAATTTAGATATTGATATGTTATTGAATCTTTTGGTTGCTGTTGATAAGCTTTTAATTTAAAAACTTTTCAATTATATACAAACTAACTTGATTACAAGTGATTTAATAGAATTACAATCTTGTAAAATATTAAATTTTGTTAATAATAATCCATCTTTTACAATAATTAAATTAAATCTTTTAGAAATTATTTGCAAATATCCAATAATCTTATTTGATCATAATGAATTTCTTGATTTGAATAAAGATGATTTAAAATTAATTATTGAACATGATGATCTTGATATGAAAGAGAATGATATTTTTAATTATATAATTAAATGGGGTATTGGTAAAGATGAAAAAATTTTAAAAGATTTAATTAATTATATTAGATTTTATCAATTTTCTCTTAATGAATTTGCTGAAATAATATGGAAATATAAAAATCTTTTATTGGATGAATTAATCAAAGATGTATTAAATTGTAATTCAAATCTAAATTTAAAACCAATGTATGATATATCATTAATTAGATGGGGAAATTTTACTATTAAATCAAATTTAATTAATCGAGAAATTGCTTTATTATTAACAAAATTAATAGAAAAAATAGATATAAAAGATGATAACTCAAAAGGATTAAAATATAAATTTACTTCTTTATATAATAGTTGTGATAATGGATACTCACCACAAATATTTCATTCTAAATATGATAATCAAGGTGCAACAATAATAGTATGTAAAATTAAAAATACATCTCTTATTACAGGTGGTTATAATCCACTTGAATGGAATAGAATTAAACAATATAAAGAAACATCAGATAGTTTTTTATTCGTAATTGATTATAAAGATTTAAAAAAATATGTAGTAACATATATTAATTCTGATCATATTAAATATGCAGTTTATTGTGATAATAACTGTAATCCAACTTTTGGTAAATCTGATTTTCATATCACAAAAGATGGTTGTTTAAAATATAAAGCAAAATCTTATAATAAAATAATAAATAGTCATACTCTTAGTTTAGATAGTTATGATATTTTTAAAATTGAAAACATTACAAGGTATTAATATAACATTATAATTTTTATTTATATTATTATTTTAAATTAATTTTTATTATTATATAACACAAATAATTATTTTCTAATCAATAAAAATAAAAATAATTGTCTATAAAAATAAATTTTATATTTAAATACTTTATATTTTCATTGATTTTATTTAATTCTAATGGATGAAAGACCTATTATTCTCTGGGCTCATGCAAGATCACTTTCAACTGTTTTTGAAAGACCTTTTCTTAATTTTCCAAAAGAATTTCATGTTATGCATGAAACATTTGTTCCAATTAATCATGTATATATAACAAATGATTTTAATTTCTTGAATAATATTTCTACACCAAAGGCATATGATTAAATTACTTATAATCATTATTTTTCTTCAACATTTAATAATATTCTTGAACCTCATTATTATGATAATACTAAAACCCATAAATTAAGAGTATTTGTTAAAGATTTAGCTAAAATGTTTTTACAATTACCTGATATTGAACCATTACTCTCTGAAAATATTTTATCAAAATTTAAACATACTTTTCTTATTCATGATCCTGAAAAATCTGTAAAATCATTCTATAGATCTATAAATAAATCTAATAATAAAAAGTTAAATTTTAATAGAATCAGTATTGAAGAATTAAGAAAACTTTATGATATAATTAAAAATACAATTAATAAAGAAATTTTATTAATAGATGCAGATGATCTAGTTGAAAATCCTGAAAAAATATTAAGAAAATATTGTGAAAATGTG